CTCCTCGATACTGCTGGAGCATCCTCCTCCCCGGGTATCCCCCGCGGGGATCCCACCCCGGGGATCGCAGCCCTGTGTCCCTCCGTGTGCCCCATCCCTGGGTACGGGGCAGCTGCTGCTGCGCCGGTGCCAGCCCCGCTCTCCCACTCCACTGCCCCGGTGCCGGTGCCGGTGCCGTCGGACTCACCACCACCGCCCGCTGTTGTTCACCGCCAGCGTGTTGGAGAGGGAGGAGAGGGCCAGAGCCCAGAGCGCCCGGAGCGCCAGCCCCAGCGCGGCCGCGCGCATGGCTCCGGCCCCGGGAGCCCCGGCAGAGTGCGCGGGCGAGCGGCCGTCCCGGTATTTATATGGTGCCGCGGAGCCCCCGGCCCGGCCGCTACATCCACGCGTGTTTCCGGACGCGCGGGGCGGCTCCGAGATCAGGACGGCCGCGGGGGGACGCGGGGAGCGCCGGGCGAGGCGGGCCGGCACCGGCACGGGGGTGCAGCCGGTGGCCGGGGCGCGGCGTCGGGGGTGCGGTGCCCGGCGCTCCCTGCCCGGTCCCTGGAGCGCGGCGTCGGGCGCTCCGTGCGCGGTGCCGCCGCTGGAGACCCGGTGCTCGGCGGTCCGGGCGCGGTACCCGGTGTCGGTACCGGTTCTCTGCAGTCCGTTCGCGGGACCCGGTGCCCGGTGCCCGGCGCTCGGTGCCGGCGGCTCCCCGGAGAGGCGGCCCGGCTGGACTCGGCTCGGCGCGGCGGGTGCGCAGCGCTCAGCACCCGGGAGCATCTTCCAGCCCCTTCCCTCTTATAGGGGCGGCGCGGAGGGTCCCCGTGGGCCGGTCCCGCCGCGCGGGGCCTCCCCGCGTCCTCGCCCTAACAATGGGGAGCGGCGGAGCCGCGGCACCTCTTACGGGGCGGCGGGAGCGGCGGCGCCGGGGCTGTCCGTCACGGGCCGGATTAGCCCGGCGGGTGGCTGCGCCCCGGCCCCGTGCCCAGAGCCCCCGGCTGCCGTCCCCCGCCCTCCCCGCCGCCCCTCGCACACGCTCTACCGGCACCGGCGGGGGGAGCCCGGCACGACACGCGACAGCTCCCGGCACAAGGAGGAGCCGGTTGCGGAACAGCCCGGGACGGCCCGGGACGGCTCCGGGAGTACGGAGGGAGCGGGAAATGGGGATAGCCCGGGATCTCCCGGGACAGCCCGGGGTGCACAGGGAGGTGGAGTGACGGGATCTCCCGGGACAGCCCCGGGCGCACGGGGGAGGCAGAATTCCGGGGCCACGGGCTTTGCGGGGGACACGATGTGCAGCCCCCCGGGACGAAGGACCACCGGAGCTGCGCCGGTGACGGTGCCGGTCCGGAGCCCCCAGATCCCGGTGCCCGGTGCGACAGGACAGCCGCGTCCCTCGCCGCTCGGGACCGGGCTGTCTCGGGCTGTCCCGGGCTGTCCCGGGCTGTCCTGGCGGCACCCCGCACCCTCGTGAACGTGCCCGTGGACACCCCCGGAGTGCACAACCCGCGTGGGCGCGGCACGGCCCCGCACGGCTCCCGCTGCCCCGGGGCGCCCGGTCTGAGCCGGTACCGGGTGTGTCAGAGGGAGGGATGAACGGGGGGGACGGAGGGACTGAGGGAGACAGAAGAATGAAGGGCAGGGGGTGCCCGGACGCAGGGGGGCGGCCCGGGGTGCCCATGGCCAGGACACGGTCACGCAGGGCCGGTGCTGGCCCGGTCTCGGTTGGGACAAGGCTCTGTCCCCGCTGTCCCCGGGCGGGTGCGAAGTCCCCGGTGCGGAGCCGGGCGGGCCGGGGGGGCTGAGTTGAGCCCCCCGTTGGGGCGGGGGCCGGGGGGTGTAATCCCCCCGCCGCGGTTTCCCCGGACCAGTCATGCGGGGCCGGATTAGCCCCGCTCGCCCGTCACGGCCCGGGGCCGCCTCTCACCAGTTCAATTCAGGGACGGACAAAGCCCGGGACGGCGGCGGCGGGGGGTGGCTCGCACCGGGCACCCCCCGCACCCCCTCCCCCGGCCCGGGAGGCGCTCGGGGCCGCCCTGGAGTCTGATCCAGGACGGCTCTCCCGCCTCCCCCCGCCCCGGTTCCCGGCCGGGCCGGGCCGTGTCCGCGCCCTCCGGCCGCCGCCCCGTCGGGGCTCCCGGGGCTGAGGTCAGCGGCCGCGGGGAGGCCCCGGGGCGCGGCCGAGAGGGCCCTGCCCGGGGTTGTGCCACCAGCGGCGGGGCCCAAACACGGCCCGCGCCTCCCCCGCTGCATCCCGGGATTCTCCGGGACCTCCGGACCCCCCGCACCCCCTGCCCGCTGCTCCGAGGCCCCGTTCCCCCCCATCCCCTCTGCTGCAACCCGACGGCGGCCCGAAGGGCGATGCTCGGGACCCGCCCCCCAGCGCCAGGGGTTCGGTGGAGCCGTTCCCGCAGCCGTCGGGGCGGTCGGTGCTGCCGGTGCCCTCCGGGCTGCCGCCGGTACCGGTCCGGGGGCCGGGGCGCCCGTCCCGTCCCGTCGCACCAGGCGGGGGCGGACGGACGGACAACGGGGACATACGGACGTGGAGGGGGACCCGGGGGTCCACCGCACCCGCTGCCAGTCCCTGCCCTGCCCGTGAGCACCGGGACGGCCTCGTTACAGCCGGTACCGGGACGGCGCGGGCGGGCTCAGCCTGGCCCGGGGTTCCCGTATGGGGGGGGAGCATCCCCGGGACCCCCGTGACGTTTTGGGGTCCCCGCCCCCCCGTGAAGCACGGGGCACGCCGGGGTCGGACGGGGTTCTGCCGGGGATGGAGCACCGAGACCCCCCCGCTCCCCACCACCCCATCCCGACCCCCGGTGCTGGTCGGGGGGGCTCACGACGGTGGGGGGGTGTGGGCGGGGAACGACACCGGGACCCCCCCTCAGAGCCCCCCCCCCGCACTGCTGCATCCGTCGCCATGGTAACGCCTCGCGGCTCTCGCGATCGCACCCCCTCCGTGTCCGTCCCCCCCCCCCCCCCCCCCCCCCCCCCCCCCCCCCCCCCGCCGGGGGGGGGGGGGGGGGGGCGGGTGCGGGGGTGCCCGGGGCGGCGGGGGGGGGTTGCGGAGCCCCGGGAGCGGAGGGGTGGGGAGTGGGATGCGGTGCGGTGCGGCGGGCGGGGGCGGGGGGCGATGCGGCGCGGGGGGGCGGCGCAGTGCGGGGGGGGA